TGTATCGTTCTGATACCATCTCACACCTAGATAGTCCTGACATTATCTCTTGTGACTAGTTTTATCCAGTTCATAACCGCACCACAGATGTATCCCTTGGTGATAGAATCTGTACACTTAATAACTAAGTGCTGTAACCCCAGCACTCTGGGAGGCTCAGGTAGGAGGATCACAAATTTGAACCCAGTCTGGGTAACTTGGTGTTTTAGTAAGACTATGTCTCAATATAAAAAGTAAAAAAGTAAGCTGGGTGTGGTGGCTCATGCCTTGTAATTCCAGCACTCTGGAGGCTGAGGCAGGAGGATTGCTGTGAGTTCCAGACCTGGGCTACGTAGTTCCAGGTTAGTCTCAACTACATAGTGACACCCTGTCTCAAAAAAACAAACAAACAAAAAGAAAAAAAGTGTTAGAAATGTGTAGCTCAGTACAAAGGCCCTAGGTTCAATTCCTAGTTAACTCCTTCCCCCATGCACATTTCTGAGTGTCCATCTTAGTGAGAGAAGTGAGCCAGGTGAAATCAGGAGGCCTTGCAGTCCTTAGGGTGGAACCAGGGTGCTTTGGGAGAAAGAAGAGCGAATGGGCCAGGGAAATTTTCAAGCTAGGACAGGCTGGACCTCTACTGGAGTGCTTGGGGTAGAATTCCTTAGTGAAAACCTAGATTTGGAAAGGGGAGGGAGGATGAAGGCTTTAAGTTGGGTCATGTTCTATTTGGGATGCCTGTAGACACCCATGTGCTATTTGTGTCTGAAGCCTGAAGAGAGAATTTGGGTGGAGCTGACATGAGGACTGGGATGTTTACATGGTAGGGTGGCGTGGAGAGGGGACTGGAGCCTTTGTTTCTCCCCCAGAGTCTTTGCAGACCAGTTTGGGCAGCAAGCTGAGATTAGGGATTTGTAAAGCCAGACAAGGTAAGCCCTGAAACATTTGGGGTGATGCCCTGGAGGCTTGTGTTACTGACCCCAAAACAGGGTGTATATTGCAAGCTAGCAGAGAGTTTGGACTGTCTGGAAGATTGATCTTATTCTTGGATTTGTGTGCTCCTCATGGCTGTATCTTCATTGACTATGAACAGGGACCAGCATTTGAGCATCACCTGAGTGCCAGGCACTTGTTAACACTTTGTATGTGCCAGGGGTTTGAGTAGCTCAGTCATCATGGCCTCCCTCCTCTGGCAGGTGTGGCCTCAAGTGTGAGTTCTTACCTGTCCATCCCCTCCCTACCTTGCATGAAATCTGGTTGCTGTGGTACTACCATCACTTTTGTGCATAGGCACACAGTAGGGAAAGTGTGGGACAAATTGTGCTTTGGATTGATAGCAGTAATAGTGTGTATACAGTACCATCTGACACAGTACCTGGCCTATTGCTGTGTTGTGGCTCAGAGGGATGGTTCCAATGTTTGGTAGTTGGAAGGTAGTCTTGAGATTTATTTAACAATAAAGGGACTAACATTTCTTCCTTAATATTTTGTGTGACGATGCCGGGCGTAGTGGCGCACGCCTGTAATCCCAGCACTCGGGAGGCTGTGGCAGAAGGATCACTGTGAGTTCGAGACCAGCCTGGGCTACACAGTGAGTTCCAGGTCAGTCTCAACTCTACTGTGAGACCCTGTCTCAAACCGCCCCCCCCCAAAAAAAAAATATTTTGTGTGACGATGCCGGGCGTAGTGGCGCACGCCTGTAATCCCAGCACTCGGGAGGCTGTGGCAGAAGGATCACTGTGAGTTCGAGACCAGCCTGGGCTACACAGTGAGTTCCAGGTCAGTCTCAACTCTACTGTGAGACCCTGTCTCAAACCGCCCCCCCCCAAAAAAAAAATATTTTGTGTGACGATTTCCAAATGGAGTTGCAAAAAACCATGTGAGCCAGGTGTGGTGCATGCCTGTAATGCCAGTACTCAGGAGGCTGAGACAGGAGGATCGCTGCAAGTTGGAGGCCAGCCTGGGCTACAAAGGGAGACCCTGTCTCAAAAAGCAAACAAAAAAATCACGTGAAAAACCACATACCCACACCCATGTTCATTGTGAATCTGGCAACACATGAGATTTTAATGTGAAGTTGGAATAATTATGTTTTTTTCTCCTTAATTTGTAATTGAGAAAAATTCTAGAAATCAGTTTAAGAAAAACATTTTGATACTCTAAATGCCAAATCTTATTTTTTTCTGAATTCTTAGCTTTATTAGATCTAGAATTCTAATATATCAGAATCTTTTTTTATTATTGAAGACTGTACATTCCTTCCTCAATTTCATGTTAATCCATTGAATTGATACATAATTGATACACTTTTAAATATATCCTGATTTTTTTTTATTCAAGGGCTTTCTTAAAAACAAGAGTTTGAGCTTTCCAGATGTTTCCTTGTGATGTTTTCTATTTTTCCCATTGTTTTTATAAGTGTTCCAAAATACAGGTGCATAAATGCTTGATATATGTGTTTGTAAGGCATATGTTTTCTAGTTATTAATTACAGAGCCTTATTTTATGTGCATTCAGTCAAGTTTGTTAAATGTGCTCAAACTTTTTTTCTCCTGGGGATTGAACTCAGGACCTTGTGCTTGCCAGGTAGGTGCAGGTACCACTGAATTAAATTCCTGGCCCATAAGCTCAAATCCTAAAGTTTGTGGATTTTATGCATGTATGTGCAGCAATACTGGGATTGAACCCAGGGCCTTTCCACTGAGCGAAAACCTCAGTTCTTTTTACTTTTTTTTAAAGCTTTAGTTTTGTTGTTCTCCTTTATTACATGTTTAGCTTCTCTTCTTTTTCTTTTTTTTTGCCATAACAGGAAACAAACTCAGGACCTTGTGTTTGCAAGGCAGGAGAGGTAACTCTGAGCTAAATCCCTGCCTCCCCCTTTTTTTTGTGGTACTGGGGATCGAGCTCGGGTCCTTGTGCTTGCGAGGCAGGCCACCGACCCCCCTCCCTTTTTTTTTTTTTTTTTAACTTTTTGAGACAGGGTCTTCTCTTCTTAAATCACTAAGTTTCCAGACTAGTCTTAAACTTGTGATCTTCCTACTTCAGCCTCCCAGAGTGCTGGGATTACAGGCTGTACCACCATGCCCAGCTGACTGGGATAATTTTAAAAGGTAATGGCAAGGTTCCATTCTGCATGTTTGAGGCTTTTAGGACCTTGTCTTCTCATCCGTCCTTTTTTTCCCCCCTCTCTGTAGTTAAGTGGGGAGGAGCTTTTGTTGTTTCTCTTTAGAGTTACAGCCCTTGGAGGAGTTGTAGCTCCTGTAGGGATTTTAGTTGCATATCCTGGTTTCCTCTGCTTGAAAAGCAAGTCTCAGCCTGAAAACCCAGAGTCTTGCCCAATAGTTGCATAAGTGGGTATGGACATAATGCTCAGTCCTAAGCTGGGTGTGGTGGCGCATGCCTGTAATCCCAGCAGTCAGGAGGCTGAGGCAGGAGGATCACTGTGAGTTCGAGATCAGCCTGGGCTACATAGTGAGACCCTGTTTTAAAAAAAAAAAAGCTCAGTCCTGATATTTTATAGGTATATAAATATGTATGTGCACTTACATGTGTATGATAAAACTGCATCTTTTTGTTGGCTGTGGGAGTTGAATGCCAGGTGCACTGTATCATTAAATTAAGTAATGCCGTTAGCCTCTGTTTCTTGTTTTGAGAAATGGTGTAGCTCATATGGCTTTATTTACCTTTCACATTGTTCAGCCTCAGCAACCTGGCTTTGGGAAGGTTATTTGCATGTATGGTATTTGCTCACAGAATGTTTCTTTTGTTTATGTTTCTTCTTTCTTTTTTGGGGGGTGGTGCTGGGGATTGAACTTGGGTCCTTGTGCTTTCGAGGAAGATGGTGGAACCACTGAGCTAAATCCCCGACCCTCACAGTGTTTCTTTTGAAACTTTTCAAAGCTATGGTTTTTGTGATGCCTACTAAAAGCCCCCCTTCTTTTTTTTGGTACTGGGGATTGAACTCAGGTCCTTATGCTTGGCAAGCAGGCGGCAGAACCATTGACCTAAATCCCCAGCCCCTTGCTTCAGTTTTGGGCACCGGAGCTCAAGAGAAGGACTAGCTTTATGGGGTGACGATCGATACCTTTCAGCTTCTATTGTTTTTGTCCCAAGCCCTCCACACCCTTTTTTTTTTTCTTCACAACCTTTTATTTAAAGGGCAGATGCTCTGTTACTATGGTGCATCCTTAGTTAGCTCTGTGTAGTTGGTTTAACGAAGTGGTTTAGGTGGTCAGATTTAAAGAAACAAAATTGGTTAGGAAATGTTCTATTTTGAAGAGGTAGTGCATGTTCTTCAACAGTTGCAGAGGTGGCAGGAGCAGAGTGGCTTTCCGTTCTACTATTGGAACAGACGAAGCAAGGCTCTCTGCTGCTAGTTTCTTCCACCCTGAAGGCTTCATGTGCAGCGATTTGGTTGACAGCCTTGGCCACAGGGTGGTGTGGTGTGGGAGATGGAGCACCTGCCTGATGGTAAAGTTACACCAATAACTGGAGTCCAAGGCCTTTCCTTTTTCTCTTTTGGGAGAGTATGGGAGGGCTTTGGAAATCCTCTAATAAGAGTGAGTGAGGTGCTTAGAGGGCAGGTTCTTAGGTAGGGACAGTGTTTTTGTCCTTGAAGCTCCATAGCCTTGCCCAATGCCTGGCACAGGATCACCTAAAGGGAGGAAGGTAACTGAAGCTTCCATGTGTGGTCGTGTCTAGGGTACATACAGCAGGCTTGTCAGCTCCTGTCAGATGGCCATCTGGACTCTGGCTGAGCACTCAGTCACCTAATTTGAGTATTTGGCTTAGGCTAGTATTAGGCTATTCCAGAGTATTTCCCATGTCTGTGAGGTCTCTGGGCATGAGTTTTGGAACCAGGGCTCAGACCAGGCCTTGCCGTATAGGCTGGTGGCAGGCTATGGAAGTTCCCTTTGTGGTCAATACGTGCAGAGCTGAACCCTTCCCTCCTGCCCAGCTCTCACCTCATGACCCACCCAACCATGGCAGCCTTGTCACTGACCACACATTTTTATTTGCAGGACTTGTTCCAACAAACTGTTAAAACATGGTGGATTACTATGAAGTTCTGGGCGTGCAGAGACATGCTTCCCCTGAGGACATCAAGAAGGCGTAAGTACTGTATGGCTGCAGTTGTACACTGGTGACTGGATGGCACATCTTTTTCTGTTACCTATTAGAGCCCCCTGCTACTTATTTGGTAGTGTTGGGGTGGAGCTGAGGGCCTCACTTGTTGGGCAGGTGTTCTACTGCTGAGCTACAGAGCAGTCTGAAGATTGTGTCTGACAATGGTGGTGTACTGTCTATCAGCACCATGTAGTTTTAATTAATATTTAACTTGAGATAGCAGTGGATGTGTGTACCACATCTGGGCCTATCCTAGTCCTTATCTTGCCAGTTATCTTGTTTCCTGTGCCTTGGTCCTGGACTCCTTTTCTGCTTGAGGTAGATCAAAAACTCATGGAGAACTTGGGAGGCTGAGGAAGATTGTTTTGAGTTCTAGGCCAGCCTGGGGTATATAGTGATTTCAAGTCCAGCCTGAACTATATTCAGGCCTAGGCCATGAATGAGATTTTATAGAGTGAGCAGTAAGCCTAGGGTTATTGAAATCACTCTTTAATATTGTGAAATAATTAAATCTACGCTTCTACACAAACAGATTTTTTTTTTGTTTGTTTGTTTTATGGAGTGGGATAGTACTGGGGATTGAACCCAGGGTCTCTCACTTGAGCTGTCTTTAGCCCTTTTTACTTTGTATTTAAAGATAGCATCTTGCTGAATTGCCCAGATTGTGCTTGAACTCAGATCCTCCTGCTTCACCCTCCTGAGTAGCTGGGATTATAGGTATATGCCATTGTGCAGGCTGGAAGTTTGTTGAGTTAGGTCTGGGAATGCAACTCAGTGAGAGTGTGCTTAGTGTGCCCAGGACCCTTCGTTCAATCCTTAGCACTACTGTTTTTTGTTTGTTTGTTTTTGTTGTTGTTGTTTAAGAAAAGCTAAGAGTGATGGATGTGTTACGTAAAGTTACTTGCAGAATATTCCCATTTCAAACCTCAGCCAAGGGACCATAGGTACAGCTCACTGGGGCAGACCGGTCAGGTGTTTGTGGGTCTCTTTCATCCTGTGTATGACTTTTGGCAGTTGATTTAGGTCTGCATTGTTCTTTTTTCTTTTCTTTTTTTTTCTTTTTTTTTTTTTACCAGGATTTAAACTCAGGGCCTTGAGCTTGCCAGGCAGGTGCTGTGCCTATTGAGTTGTATCTCTGGCCTTCTGCACTGTTCTTTAACTGGTCAGTTAATAGCCAATAGTACTTTTGTGGACCAAAGAGATATTTCTGAGTCTTTCATTGTTGTTGAATAAATCCAGAATGTGCAAAGCCTTTGTTTTTACTAATAGAATTAGGTGCTTTCCGTTGTGCTGGAGGTAGAGAGTAGATTGCTTTTACCTAGGGTTGATGTCTCCAGGATAACTTGGAAGTACAAACTTTAGAAAAAGGCCCTTTTTAAAAGCAGCAAGATTTCCTCACTTGGTAAATATTGACTTTCCAGCTGAGGAGAATGATAGCTATGGGGTGGTGCATATTTTAAGAACTGCCGCTTCCTGGGCCTCTGGCTTTGTGGTGTGCACTGGCCATATGAAGACTAAGGATGTGTGGATGCCACCTCACTCCTGGTCTTTTGAGACAGTCAATTCCTCTACAATTGGAATCACAAGTTTTAAGGGCCAGTGAAGTGCTGGTGTGCAGGTTAGACAGGTCTTCAGGCCAGCGTTGGAAGTAGTTTGCTATGGTTTATACTTCTCTCTTAAACTTTGGACTATATCTTGGTTTTGTTTTGTTTTTCCTGTGTTGTGGGGGATCAGACCCTGTGGGCCTTGTACCTGCTGGGCAAGTGCTGTCTGACTGAACTCAGCTCCTAGCTCCTGCACTTCAGTTTTTAAAAACTTTAGTGATGTATGTATGACCAGGGACAGAGAGAAAGAAGTGAATTCTCCTAAGTTACTTAATTTCCACATGAGCACTGCATGGTTGGTGATATTCCTATTCTACTTTTAGATTTGAGGGATGCGTTCCTCCCTTCCTTTAATGCCACATGCCTTTTACTTATTTTTCCATACTAGGGATGGAACCCAGCTGATCTCTAGAGCCATGTCCTTAGCCTTTTGTATTTTTTATTTTGAGTCAAGATGTCACTGAGTCGCCTAGCCTTCAGTTTCTGGGTGTCAGCCTCTCACACATAGTAGCTGGGATTATATGAGTTTGCCAGGCACAGCATACTGTCTTTTAAAAGTGTGCAGCTTATGCTTTGCTCATCAGAGGCTTCTCCCTTCCTACTTGGTGCTGGGACCCAGCCCTGAGCCTCACATGCTGGCAGATGCTCTGCTGCTCAGCTATACTCCCCATCCTCAAATACATTATTTATAAACTCCATTTCTATAATGATTCCACAGCAGGTGGCTCATGGCAGGATCCTAGCATCCTGGTCTGTGTTGTGGCAGTTAACTCATTCATCTTCTAACAATGATCAGCCAGGCTGGCTGAGAAATAGGGACAACCTAGAAAGATATGGGCGATATGTTGGATCTTTACTGCCCACTGACCAAGGCCACTTCTACAGAGATCCCTCCCCCAAATACAGTTTGTGTGTGGGTTTGTCAGTAATCATTGGCCTATGTTGTGGACACTGTGGCATACAAGCATGCCTAGTTTGGGGAGTTAGATTATATTAGTGTCTGGATGTAGAACTCTTACTTCATTCTCGGGAAAAGGGAAGCTTTCTAGGTAATACTAGTATTAATTTCACCAGATGGCAGCTCTTAAACCATTCTCTTGCTAACTACGTTAGTTTTAAAAGCATAGTTGACTTCTGGACTTTGGCCATGACCGATACTCTGTTCTTTCCAGATACCGGAAACTGGCACTAAAGTGGCATCCAGATAAAAATCCTGAGGATAAAGAAGAAGCAGAGCGAAAATTCAAACAAGTGGCTGAGGCATATGAGGTGTTATCAGATGGTAAGTGGCACACACTGGGCATGTGCAGGGCTGAGTGGGTGAATTGGCACACAGGGATGGGCAGTGTGTGGGCACGATGTGTTGTGTTTCCAACTGGATTAGATGGCCATGGAGATTGGACCTGGAGAGTTACTTGTGAGTCCTAAGGAGTGTTTGGCTTCTGTGGCTTCTCCAAGGATGACTGTTTGAAAATAGCACTTAGTATCCTAGGTGTGAGGAGCTTAGGGTTAGGGTTAGGTTGAGTTGCCAGACTATTTGTCACTGAAGGCAACAGTGGATGCCCCTGTTTCTGCGGCTCTAATAATGTCTCTAATAATGTCTGCGGCTCTAATAATGTGACTGCTTTCATGACATAGTTCTGCCTGGAACAGCACCTTGTTCATGGAGTGAGTTTTACTACTTGGAGGAACTTTTACTGTGAGAGAAAAAGGAATTGAACATACAGCTCAGAACATGCCATGAGTAGCGATTTCATAGTGCAGAAAAGATTGCACAGGCCAGGTGGGAACAGTGCCAGAGGTGGGAAAACTACTGTCTAGGCTCTGGGGCTGCAGTGGGCAATGACTGGTGTGAATCACAGCAAAGGTACCAGGAACGGTGGCCCTGATTCACTGACCACAACAAGTCTATTCACATGATAGATAAAAACCACTTTTTAGAAGAATTTCAGTGAACTATCACTTGGTCTCAACAGTGACCAGCATATGGTGCCCTTGTGCTACTAACTATGATGACCCCATATACTTCTGTCCTCTGTTGTCCTAAAGGGAATCTTGGACATCTGATTTCATGACTTTCTTACTTGTGAAAACATAAAGCATTGATACTTTTTTGCATTTATAGTCTAAAAACAGCCAGTAGGACTTTGAGGGGAATGGTGTTGGAGATTTCAGGAACCCTGCCTGGTAGAAAGTGTACTTGGTTCTGCATCCCCAGACTTAGGGATATCATGGATGGATACTGTTTTTTTCTTTTTGTACTGGGGATTGAACTCAGGTCCTTGTTCTTGCAAGGCAGGCGGCAGAACCACTGAGCTAAATCCCCGGCCCCACTATTTTTATTAGTACATGTTAACAGTGCATGATGATTACATTTATCACTTTGGGAAGTTGATACATGTGTGTAACACATGTTTATTCTTAGTATTTCCCTCTTCCTTATTTTTCCCCTTCCCTAGACTGACAATTTATGTCTTCCAGAAAGAGAACCAACCTTTAAATGACCATGCAAAGGTCTGGTTTGATTATTGGAGGGAGAGTGTATTTTTTCACATACTCTTGGGCAACCTCTAGCCACAGCTGGAGTTATCTTTTAAATCTAGGGTTATGTTGTTATCAAGGCTCTGTACCTAAAACTAGCTGGTTTTAAGCCTCTTATTTTGTGGAATAAGATCTTTTTAGGGGGACAGAAGTGGTGGTATATTAAAATCACTGGCAGTTGCTGCAGAGTTGTGCTGTGTTGTCCTCATTTTTAGAGTGTGAAATGCAGCAGGACCAGCAGAGGAGAGTAGCAGGGCACTTGGCGGCCATATGTTCAGCTGTTCCCTAGAGCTGGTGGCCTGAAGGCCTAGGCTGTCTCCTTTTTGGTTTCCATATACTCAGGATTTTGTAGTAAGGTTCACTTCCAGGGTACAATGATTTTATACTTGGTTATGAAATTTTTTAATGTATGTAGGGGTTCCAGACAGTTTAAAAAAATGATCTAATGGAGTAAATATTTTAGTATTTATAATTTTTAAAGATTGATATGATATTAAAAGTTTTCTGAACCACTTTTCAGGAGACAGGTATGTAAAGTTTCCCTTCTGTTCATGTTTCTTTAAAGTAAGAGGAGCCTAACTTCTTGAAATTTGTGAGAAGCTGAACCCTCACTTACACCTTGGGAAGTACCTTACCAATTGAATTCTGAGGATTTGAAAAGAACATAGCTCTAATGTGTGTATGTGTTTTTTCCCCTTCAAATTTAAAGCTAAGAAACGGGACATTTATGACAAGTATGGCAAAGAAGGATTAAATGGTGGTGGAGGAGGTATGTGAATGAATTTTCTCCTTGGAGACAAAGGTCTTGACAAAGTCAACTGAATTTATTGAGTTGTTTATGAATTGTAAATTACTGAATCTCCATATGGTCTATTTGATGATAAATACAGGTATAGCCTAAAAGTGGACTGAATTGGGTAGAGAGTGGAGATATATCACTTTTAAACAGTCTACTAAAAAGCTGGGCTAAGTGGTGCAGAACTTTAACCTTAATACTCTGGGAGGCAGAGGCAGAAAGATGAGAACTTTGAGCCCAGCCTGGGCAGTTTACTAAGACCCTATCTCAAAATAAGGGAGAAGATTGGTGATGTAGCTCATTGTGAATGTTCTGGGTTCAATCAATAGTATCAAAAAGAAAATGAAACAACCCCCAAACAACCAAAAATCTATGAAACTAGTAAAACTTTCTGTTAAGCTTGATGTGGTGATTGCTGTAATGCCAGCATGAGCTACTTATTTAGACCCTGTTTTAACACCAAAACAAAATAATAAAACCAAAAACTAGAATCTTGTTAGAAGGAAGAATTTATTGATATACCTGTTGTAGATGTGATACAGTGTCTATCCTCACTGTACTGTCATATTATGAACTTACACCCTTAGATAACTAACCGGAGTGTAGTCAGTGTGTCCTTTGGGTTTAAAGGGCAGACTCTAAATACAGTGTATGTCATGGAAAGTCCCCATGGTGATCAGCTGTTGTAACATGCACCTTTAGCTTGGGTGCCTCAGAGTCTTGCTCTGAACCCATATTGTCATGTTGCAGCTATGGGGAAGTTGTGTAAATTACTCTGGGTTTCCATAAGCCTTCACAACAAGCCTTGAAAATGCGTGTAATCTATGCTGACCAGAGAAGTAGTAATGAAGAAAACCCAGCTGGGACCTCTGCTTGAGGGCTGAGCCCCCTATGCACAGATAGTTTTGATCAGTGTGGGGCTCATTTTTAGTCTAAGAGAACCCCAGATAGATAGGTGTTTTAAAGAGACCAGAATTCATAAACTAACCTTCATCCTGTGTTTATGTAGGTGGAAGCCACCTTGGCAATCCATTTGAGTTTGGCTTCACATTCCGTAACCCAGATGATGTCTTCAGGGAATTTTTTGGTGGAAGGGACCCATTTTCATTCGACTTCTTTGGTGGTAAGTGGATCCTTTGGTGTGTGTGTTGTGTCAGTGGCTGGTGACCAGTGGTGCACTTCCTGTTTTATGTTGTGTTTTTGTAACTAACCTTTTGATTTTAAGCAGCACAGAAGTGGTCAGACCTTTTCTGCCTTCTTTTTGGAAGACTTTTGAATGTGTAGTGTGCACATTAAGATAATGAAGGTTTTAATGTATTTTTTTCTCTTGACCTTGTTCTATTTGCTTGGTTTTGCTGTGTTAGCCCAGCACGAGGATGTAGGCGATGAAGATGGAACCCCCAGGACCTTATGTGGACTGAGCAGATGCTTTGCTACTGAGCTCCATCCCCAGCCCTGCTCTGGAACACCAGTCTCTGTGTAAATTTTCCATGGAGTTGTCTTGTTAAAATCGTTAAATGTCATAGATGCTATTCAGAGAACTTGTGACCTCCCAACCTTTCTCTTCTAATTGTGACAGTTGAGGCCACAGCATTTGTGGTGCCAGGTGGCAGAAGAGGAGAGTCTCTGGTTCACAGCTGTTGGACTGTGAGCATAGGTGTTCTTGTCTACTTTCAGTCCTGATGCCAGACCCTGGGCATCCGTGTGTCTTGGACACAGGCAGTGTGCCAGGTGCTCTTGTGACTCTGCTGTTAGTATTCCTCTTATATCTTGGGACACTGATAGGCTCTTGGAGAGTTGGGAGATCAGAGTTGAATGTGCTGTCGCTGTCACTTTTGTCTCATGCATATTGAAGGTAAACACATCCTGTGTTTGCCTCCTTCATTGCCCGGAGAATGATTGAAGAGTCTGAATACCACTGGCAACCCCCAGGAGGGGAAAAAAGAGCAGTTGTGTCCACCTGTGACAACAGCACAGAGGACACCTCTGGAGAATCCCCTGCCTGCCTTGGGCATGAGGAGGAGCAGTTTGCCACTGCCCTGGTAGGTCTTGTGCCTAAAGGTGGTTTAGGCCTTCAATTTTCAATTGATCTCAGATGGGGGATTCCTGGAGATTTTCCATATTGTTAATGTTTTCTTTTTTTGAGATAAGTTGTGGCTGTGTAGTTGAGACTGGCCTTGAACTTGTGGCAGTCCTGCCTCAGCCTCCCAAGTGCTGGGATTATAGGTATGCGCCACCACACCTAGCTCACTCTGTTTTCTGGCCTGACTTTGGCCTTCTGAGGTGTAATCAGTGGTGAGCATATGGTCAAGTTCACTGGCTTGGAACCACTGATATGAAGCAGGAGTGTGCTCAGATTAGGGGGATTTGGGGGAGACTCTGTGGTCCTGTCATAGCTGCCATAAACATAATGTGGGCTGGCAGGACTCTCTTAGAAGGTTTGAGATTTTGGAGCACTTTTGATTTTTGAATTAATAATGTTCACCTGATGAATTCATGCAAATACTCTAGCATCTGAAAAAATATCCCAAATTTGAAACACTTTTGCTCCCAAGCATTTTCTATTGAGGTATACTTGTATGAAGTAGAAATACAATTATATTCTTTATTATTTTACCTTCGTGGGCCAGAAATTATTACTTAAGAAATACTTTGCTGACTTTTTCAGTCTTTGATGTGATAGACCTTTGCATTATAATCTTTATTAAAATCTTTAGCAGTCACCATGGTGGCTGATTTGTGGGTAGGCAGGGCTGGAGTTGGAATTCTGAGTCTGCTGGTGGCCAAAAAAGGCCAACCTTTCTGGTACCTTAGGCTTCATTTCTGGGGTGCACAAGAGGGAAACAGGTATCGGTGATCTTCGTGTGTGAGCTGCTGGGCTCTTAAACATGCTTTGTCTCACATATTAGTGTCTGTATTAGCAATGATTTTCCTTGAGCATTTCTTTGTAAAGAACATATTGACTTACAGTTAGGTGTGAGTGAATTGAGTTTTTGCCGTAGTCCAACTCGAGGCTTATTGAAGCTGCTCTTGGGCTGCTCAGACCTCACAGCAGGCATTCCTGCCTTTCTATGGTGAGTGTGGCAGTGACGCTTTTCCATCCATTCTTTTAGGTGTTCTGAGGGACTTCCATTTTCAGGCTGTAAGGACTTACACACAGGAAGCAAAAGTGCTTAACAGCTTCTGCATGTATGAAGTCACTGTGCAGCCCACTGGTGGTATGTGTAGTGTAGAGTGTGGCATGCAGGGATGGGGCTTAGCATCTAGGTCATGTACACAGTTCATTTATGTTGTCCCTGTATTATAGCACATTAGTTTCAGCCTTAATTTTTCATACAGTGTTTTTTTCCCTCTCTCCTGGCTTGACTTTCAAAGAAGTAGCTCAAAATCCATTGTAAGTAAGATAGCTGGGTACAGTAGCATGTGCGTGTATTCCCAGCTATGCGGGGGGCTGAGAGGCAGGAGAAAGATGAGTTTGATGCCATCCTGGGCAATTTAGCAAGGCCTCATCTTAAAAAAAAAGTCTGTTGTAAGATGTTTTTGAGCCCTATTTTTGCATTTTTCAGAATATAGAGCTTCTTGTGGAATAAGCTGCTCTGCCTCCTCTTTTGGGGTCCAGTGAACCTCAGAGCCAGAAAACGAGAAAGCAGGGCAGGTTGTGGCCTGGCCAGCCTCAATATTATCAATGGAAGTAGCTCTCCCAGCAAAGTGAGTAAGGCAGTGCTCAGAATGCACCAGGCCATATTTAAATCCTTCTCATAACATGGAGCGCATGCAGATAAGCCCTAACTGAATGAAGCAGGAATAAGCTAACCTGGATTAGGGGATCTCATTTGTCATCTTAGTGTCAGGTATTTTTAGGAAAGGACTCGGCAGCACTACCTTTGGATCCAATAGTCAGGGTAGGAACTATCCTCTGGGAGGATTACATATATAACTTAATATTTTATTTATATTTGCACTTCAGAAAGCCAAAATTGATCCTGAAGTCCGTTTCTGGGAGCTTTTTCATTTTACACCTTGGCGTTTTTCCTTCATGAAGGCAGCAATCTTGTCAGCCTTGGTGAATGGAACATCAAGGCAGTAGTGGAGAAATGCATGGTTTGTAGAACCCAGGGAACCCGACCTTGGAGGGCATGTAATTGTGAGGAGGGTGAAAGTAGCCTCTTTTGTGAGCTGGGATCTCAATTTAAGGTAGTGAGTCAGTTGTTTTACTCCCCAGGATTCGAGGAAGTGTCCAGTGAGGACTTGGAGCCTAGTGAAGATCTAGACCAGCCCTCTTATGAGGAAACAGGAGAAGACATCCTGAGTGAAGAGAGCAGTGAGGTTTTGGATGTGATCTCCAGTGAGGAACTCGATCTCTTTAGTGACGAGGAGCTGAGTGAAGGCCATAGCTGGGGCCATACTGAGTTTCTCAGCAAGGAGCTGGGCCCTGTATCCAGTGAGGAGGAATCTGGCCCCTGGGATGCAGAGAAGCTCAGCGAGGAGTATGCATCACCGCTAAGTGAGGAGGAGATCTGTGAGGAGGAGCTCTGTGGGCCAGAGCCAGAGGTGCTTCTGTTTCAAAAATAAATTGTAAGCCAGGCGTGGTGGCTCATGCCTGTAATCCCAGAATTTGGGAGGCCAAGGCAAGAATAAATTGTAAAAGAACTGCCCCAGGCCTCTGTTTTATAAAGAGATTTAGTTTATAAACTTTGTCTAGAGCAAAAAGCTTTGTTTTGATGCCTTAATACCGTACTTGGTCAGATAACCATAGCTGCTTTGCTTTAGAACTGATGGAACTGAGAAGTGGGGCCCTGAGGGACCAGACCCACTGTCTCCTGGCCATTTCCACCTAGGAAGGCTAGGCTTTGGCAGCAGGAGTTTTTGCAAAAGCTGAGCTGCTCCCAGTACTGGAGGCAGGCAGCCTAGGAACTTGGTCTGTTCTAGAGTCTGTTTCTTGTGAGGCCAAGGAAGAATTAGCCATCCTGCTCAGGTGGCTTAGGTGGACCTTGGCTTATGGATGTCTTTCCCTGTGTTTGTACATGGTCTCCCCTCTCTTATCTACCTGCATCCACTTCCCTCTTTACACAGGGGCAGCCAGTGATGATTACAAATTTAGAGGCCACACTAGTGACTTTGTCTTAGACTTGATCATCTGCAAAGACCTTATTTCTGAATAAGATGACCTGCACAGGTGCCCAAGGTTAGGACGTCAAGCATCTTTTTAGAAAGGCCACAATTCAACTGATAATAACCTCCAACCCCTTTTGTTTTTTGTTAAGGTGGGTTATAAGTTGAAAAATGTACAGTGCAGACATGAGAGGCAGAACAGATTGGTTTTTAATCCTGCATGTGGATTTGTGTCTGAGTCCTGCACTGTCATGAAATGGTGCTACTATTAGGTTCTGTGCATTTTGGATGGTTTTTTTTGGTACTGGGGATCGAACTCGGGGCCTTCCACTTGCAAGGCAGGCAGCAGAACCACTGAGCTAAATCCCAGCCCTAGGTTCTGTGTCAATAGCCAGTGTCCTCAATTACTTCAGGGCAAGTTTTCACACACATCCAAATATGTACATATGAAATTTGAAAGATGGCAAAGAGTAAGGCATACACGTGATAACATGGTATGTTAGACTTGTTTCCACCTTAAGTTGCTAAAATAAAGACATTATTCATGTGGCTTTACATACCAGCCCAGTGGTGAGCTGTTCTACAGGGTGTGTCTGCTTGTTCTCTCGGGGGATTGGCCTGCTCTTCCTTCTGAGCCATTCTGGGCAAATGCACCGTGTTACAGCCTGGCCCTTTGCACAGTTGAGAATTGCTGCTCTGAGGTCTGGAGCAGCTTTCACTTAGTATTAGGATAAATGCTACTGCAGTTATTGTCAGCTGCTTTTCAGTACACACATCCTGGCCTCTGCCCCTCTTCCCAAGAGGGCAGGTTGTGGCCCGTTGAGTCATTCTGAGGACTCTTATCTGCCTGAAAGACCTGGATTGGCCATGCCTAGAACGCAGCGAATAAGGCTTTTCGTGCACTTTCTGAGATCAGGCCACCAGCCAAAGTTGTGTGACACTTCCTGTTTAACCCTCCTCCCTCCACAGGATGGCAGTAGCTTTCCAAGTGTTTGGCTCATAGGCATTGAATGTTTTGTGTGACAGTCACTGTCTTGTGCACAGCTCATAGGTTGAGAGAGCTACATTCGTATAAGCACACAGAAAGTGTCTTGGGCTAGGAAGAATGGTTTAAATCTTGGAAACAGTCCATTCTGGGAAGGTGAATAGGCGTGACACATTCTCTGAGGAAACAGGAAGAAGATGGGGTAATGGGAAGAAAAAAATGTTGTCTTAGAGCAGGGGCAGGAAGGATGCTTGACAGAACCAGTACTTCCTTAGACAGGGTTCTTCAGGGAGGATGTGGGTCCTGTAGATTCACAGATGTGCATTCTTCCTGTCTCCAGGGCTCCTCTTCTAAAATCAGGCCTCGTGGTTTTCAAAGTAGAAGAGTTTAGTCCAGCATATTTTGTATCCTCTGATGAGGATGAATAATTCCAATTCTTGGAGGATAACAGTACTTGCTGGACCTAGTGAATATGATTCATGCCCTGTAACTTGGTGCCAGGCTTTATTCTAGATGCTGATCTAAGGTGCAGAGAACCACACTGTCTGCAAGCTTGCAGCATGGTGGGGTCAGTGGCAGTTTGTTGTTGTTTTTTTTTGTGTGTGGGGGTACTGGTCATTGAACTCCAGTCCTCACGCTTGCAAGGCAGGCAGCAGAACCACTGAGCTAACGTGGCTGTTTTTCTTGTGTTCCTGTTTATTTTTATTCCAGATTCCTTCCTAATATGTCACTACTTTGTTCTGAATATGTGGGCCCCTATCCCACTGGAGTGTGATAAATGAGTGTCTTTGGCTCTGCTCTGACATTGGAATCCCTTGTAGATAGCAGTGGTCTTGCCTGACATAGCAGTCTGTGGGGTTTGTTCTCCTTGCTGAGAGATGCTGGTGGTGCTGAACAAAATGCTTACCTGTGTTCAAAATAGCTGGCATGCATTCTAGGGTTGTTGTGGGTTTCTTTTCTTGTCCCGTCTGTCCCAGCTTTTCTGTGTACTTGGGTTTCAATAATCTGGGACCACAGGGGGGCTAATCACTGTTGTGTCCTCTAATTCCCGGTGGGTTTCATGTGCACACTGTGAGCTTACCTTTCCCCTTTGCCCCCGTGGGCACTAGATTAAATCATCTAATTTCAGTCACTGTCTCTCCACTGTACACTTGCTATTCTGTCAGGCTCTACGAAGATGTGTGGACTTCACCACCTTTCCCACATCCTCATTTTCCTTCTGTGGGGCGTTTTGTATGTTGCACCTGTGTCAGTGATGTGTGTGCTTTATGCTCTTCACATGATTCAGTATACTTTTTTGGTTATCAGTTTGATTTAGTTGTCAGTTACTTTAGTAACTGCTCATGTTTTGGATTGGATTTAGTAATTTTGAGAAAATGGTGGGTTTAACTGCAACATTGGAATGAAAAAATTATGTGATAAAAGATACCTGTTTCAGGTAGGGTTTGTATGTCAGGATCCAGAGCTGAATTAAAACTGGCTTGCCTAAAGATACTTGTGAAAGGATCTGAGTTGGTTAGAGTTCCCTAGGGAAACAACAGGACCAAGGGACTCCTGTCATTTATGGTGAGGCTTAGACTCCTCACTTAGGTAGCTTACAGAGCTAGCAAGGAAACTCCCAGTGCTGGTTTGCTCTGTAGTATTGAAGGTGGATTAAGTCTTCGGTACTCTTTAAGATCTTCCTGTGGATTTAAGTTCAGAGTGATCTACGTGACTGTGACTATGATTGAAATGTTACCTTCATCCAGAAACACCCAGAACCATTTGGGTGGTCCCACATCCCAGGCAGGTCAACACATAAAATTATCCACAGTTCTGTCCCTCCTGCCCCTGACTCTGTGCCTACCTGAGTGCACCTGACTCTTCCCACTGCGGGCTAGGTCCTTGAGCCATAGTCACCTTTTCCTTTGATACCCCATTGCCTAGTACACCTCACATATGAGGCAAGAGGAGGAAACATAGGAGTTGGGTCTAACACATGCATGGGCATCATGCACGCACATACATGAGTGAGCAGGAAGGAGAGAGAGTGTGCATCTCTGCCAACTTTCAACTGCTGGCCTAGGCTGTGTTGCTGAGCACCTCCTCCCTCCACCATGCTTGTGCCTGCCCTGGTGATAGAACGGTGCTGGTAACATACGCTGAGACATCTTACTGACGTTTATTCAAAAACATTAAAGTTTACATTTGTCCTCTTAACCCGTGTTTTGCAAAATACTCTAGGTTCATCCAGAATCTTACACATGCCAGGCACTCTTGCTGAGCTACATGCCTAGCCCCGAAGTCACTTTTACAGCAGTGATAGAGGGGAAATTGCAGAAAGATACTGTTGAGTTGTACGATTCCATGTAATTATAATTCTATGAGTGTGCCAAATAATGACTGGGTTAAGATTGTACTGTGTGGGGAGAGTTTAAGGCTGTCTGTATAGATGGGTTTAAGTGTTACCTTTCAGCACATGGCAAGGTTTAATTTTACGATTCTTATTTGGGTTTAGATGTTACTTACACATGTTATTGTAGATCTGCTGTATGGGAAAATTCACTGGCACAATTGATGTGTAGCTGTGGCAATCAGTTTTAAAGGTGGTTACTAAATAGAATGTGCAGATTTTATTTGAAATGGAGTTTTCATAGATTTGGTTTGACTTTATTATCTTCTATTAGAACAGCAGGGCAGTAAGATCTATTTATATATAGCAGCTCATGAGTGAATCCCCCCCCCAACCATGAATACTGGAGATGGAACCCAGGGCCTTGATTATGCTAGGCAAGAGTTCTACTGGTGAGCTACATCCCTGTCCCCCTTTCTTCTTCTTTCTTCTCTTCCTCCCCTCTGCCCCTTCCCCTACGATTGAACTTGGGACCTTTTTTATTTTGAGACAGACGCAGGTGAGCACCACTGAGCTAAATCCCCCCACCCTGCATTTGATTTTGAGATTGAGTTTTGCTGAGTTGCCCAGAACTTGTGATCTTCCTCACGCCATCTCCTGGGTAGTAGGGATTACAGGCACATAACCACCCTGCCTGGCATGAATGACATTTTTTTTGGGTAATACTGGGGATTGAGCCTAGAACCTTCCTACTGAGCTATATCTCTGGCCCCCACCCCCCATTTAAACTTTCAGCCATTTTTACTTCAAAATTTGGAAACAGTCTTGTTGCTAGCCTGGGCTTAAACATCTTGTAGCTCATGTTACAGGCATGCACCACATGCCTGCCAAAAATGAATTTAAAGAAAGAGTGGCCTGAACTGTGGCATGTGGGAACTGAGTTATGGATCAGTAATGTATTGGGCTTAACCTTTCCCCATCCCTCCCTGCATACATCCTTGGTGGGGCTGGGCGGGGAGCATGCCCATGTGTGGATTTGCATACACAGCCCTCTCATGTAGCCTTTACCTAGCTCTTGGAACAAGCTTGGTACAAGCTCTTGGAACTTGTCACAGTTCTCTGTAAGGTACAGTGCACTCTATCCAGCTGGAGCTCCCTCTGGTCTCTGTGGCTGTGCCCTGGATTGCAGCCTTGCTGGGCCTGGCAGGCTCCTGAACCTCACTGTCCTGAGCCAGGCTCTGCTGTGTTCTCACCTTCATGTTCTGGGCACATTGGTTCCCTTTTTGGCTGCTGTTTTGCCCTCTGTCTTGGAAACGTGCCACACTAATTTTGTCATTCTGTGTTCTAGGTGGCTTCTCTCTTCTGCATGTATTTACATCCTAATGCATCCTTTAGGATCCCCTACCTATTATTCCTCACAGATTTCCTTGTGTTCCAGAAAAAATATAGCATTTAGTAATTACAAAGAAAAAGGTAAATTAAAACAATAGAATGTATGTATAAACAAATTTTATGTCTTCAGTGAAGTACTTGTTGATTGATAGCCACAACAAAGTTGTGCTCTTGGTACTTAAAAAAAAATTGTATTATTATGTTTAATGTGAACTATTCCTTGACAAGTCTACTAATCTTTTATTTCCAGGAGCATTTTATTATTTCCAGTAATAATGTATGCTGTGTCAATACTTTTCTGTGTCTTATTTTTCAAAGTACAATATTACGCCTGCCACTTAATATTTGTTGTTCAAGTTTTACTTTGACTAAAAATTTTTTTGAGACCTCAGTCTTATAGGAATATGAAAGGGATTCTGGATGCTGTGCTGAGTTTTGTAGCTGTTTTGTGCCAGCATGCTCTTAGACAGATGTGTTAGAGTGATCCTGTGTGTGTAGATCTGAATTACTCTGGAGAGGTCGCTTGGGCTCCCTGAAAGACGCTATGTGTGAAATCCAATAGTGACAGCAGGACAATATCTGAACAGGACACAACAAAAGGCAATGTTAAAACCTCTCTCAAGTGCATGTCAGTGATCTTGGGTCATGCTTATATGTATGGTGCTTTCATTTAATCGTGGTCTGTCACAGCTTTAGTTGAGTTAAAGCAGTAAGTAGGAGTGTTGAATGAGATGGTCAAGACATTCTACTTTACTGTAAATTAATGTTGGTAAGGTGTTTGTTCCTGATGGAATGGTATGTTGGAAAGCATTAACACACTTTCCTTTTCCCATGGGAAAAGTAAATGTAAATAAAGATTCTTATTCTCTGCGTTGCTGTTTGTTTGTAGAAGACCCATTTGAAGACTTTTTTGGAAACCGAAGGGGTCCCCGAGGAAGCAGAAGCCGTGGCACAGGCTCCTTTTTCTCTGCCTTTAGTGGATTTCCATCCTTTGGAGGTGGATTTTCTTCATTTGATACAGGTATGAATTCCCTGGATTTAATCTTTGTTGTCTGGAGAGAAATCAGTATACTTAGAATATCCTGTTGCAGCAGCTTTAAGTATGTATGTTTCTTTTGATAAGGGGAGCTTTGTAGATAAACTAGCATTTTTTCAGTGCGTACAAATAGGTGCTTAATAACCTTCATTTCCCCACTAATCTTCCCAAGAATGTTCTGCTTAGAAAGTCTCCAAGTAATGAAGGACAACATTTGATGAAATTCTTGGTTATAAAGCATATGTATTTCGGGTAATTGGAAGGTTACTCACTTGGACATTCTCACTAGATCCTTCATGTTATCTGACCTCCTTTGCAATTAAATAAAAAACATGTAGTGTCGTAGGAAGCATCCAACTTGATGGGACTAGAAGGTTGTGGCTGCAGCCACACTGGCTCCTGAAGTGGGCTGGTCATACCCAGTGTTAGTGTGCGGAGAGTGAATTTAGGTTAACCAGAGCCATTGCACATACTGTGGCACAATGGTGTGGTACAAGAGAGGCAAACTGGGCCTGCCCCCTCCTGAGGTTCCCCTAGTTCTTACATAGAACTTTTACAGCTACAGCTGAGTTTATCACAGGTAAATTGTTGACTAGGTAGAAATTTTGTTGTGCTTTTCTCAGCAGACACAGATAGCATATGACATGCTGAGCATAAGTCAGGAGAGAATGTGAGGAAGTTGGCTAAAAATGCCAAGAAAATAGTACTTTGTGTAGGAAGTACCTGTGGCTGGTGCCTGTGTGTAACTGTCCCTGCCTGAAGGAAGCCCCACAAAGGCTTTCATTGCCATGACTCACTCTGGATCTGTGCTGAATGGCCAATCATGATGGAGATGAGCTACTCGTGTGAAGTACTTACTGTGTTCCAGAGTCTTTCAGAATGATAATATTTTGAATTGATGGAGAAGGGAGGGAGGGAAATGAACGGGGATGAAAATAGGAATTAAGATTGTTATTGACATGTACCAGTTCCCAAGGAATGTAAACATTATGTACTTCAGATGTACTTATTAAAAAGAAGAAATGGTAGCTAGAACAAATATGCTGTCACACTCTGAAAAAAAACGGTGATATTTTAGAGATTTAATAAAAATACAACATTACAATTAGTGGTTAATTTTTTCTAATTTTTAATGAGGCCATAAGGAAATATAAATTGCTTAAGTAGATCATAAAATGTATTTTTTTGGACAATTAATTGTAGGATTCTTTCTGAAATTACCTTTGCCTTTAAGTGATTCTGGTTTCTGTCCCTTTGTTTGCCCTGTGAACTGAGCCAGCAAGGCTTATGGCCTGTGGGGGTAGTGTCGTTCTTTTCCTGTAACACAAAGATAGACTGGCCCCCTGGTCCATTCAGGATGCACAGTGCCAAAAGACACCAGGTCTCCAAAGAGTCTTGAATATGTGGGGTGTCAGTCACTTGCAGCATCACTTCTGCTTCCTCCCTGGCAGGGCCAGTAATTTGAATGTTTTCAGAGTGGCTGGTGGTCCTCATGGTTGGCGCGGGCCTGTTGGCAGTGGAGGAGGTTGAGACTGAAACTAGATATGTCTAGGATGCCAATATGGTCTGGAGGGGCTGCTTGGTGCTCTGAATCCAGGGCCCCTTCTCCTAAGTCCCTGCAGAAGTCCCAGTGAAAATCAGGCTCTGATCTCCCCACGGTTCTTCCTGAAATCTGCCAGAAGGCACCCCCTGTGCCTCCGGTGAAAAGGCCCATTGTCTTGAAGATGGTGGCTCAGGCTGTAGAGGTCCCAAGCTGTCCACTCTCCCTTGCAGGGGCCCTAGGATTGCTTTTTCTTGGGGAAAGAAAACACCCCTCTCCAGGAACCAGAGAAAGAGGGACCTCTTTAAGACATGAAGTGTCTCTGCCACCCCCGCTGCTATTCCTGTTGTATACCACCTGAATGTCGAGTCCAACTCAAGGGAAGGAGAGTTGGATGCCAGATACATGGAAATGTCTAAGGAAGTCAGGCACTCCCTTAGCTGGCTGGACACCCTTGGATGTACCTCCATCTCTGCCCCTGGCCTCTGGTCGTGGTTGGCCTTGAGGATCACAAAGATTTGTAGTCTCACCTGTGGTGCATTCAATGTTAACTGAGGTCCCCAAGGTCCCTGCAAAGCCCTGGTCCCCAGACACGAATCTCCCAGGAATCTCTCCCCTAGTTAGGAAAGAGAAGCAAGAGAAGAAAAAGGTTCCAGAGATACTGAAGTCCGAGTTGGATGAGTGGGCTGTAGCCATGAATGCTGAGTTTGAAGCTCCTGAGCAGTTTGATCTCCTGGTTGAATGCGATGAAGTGAGGTGCACCTGGCCATACCTTCCTCTCCTCTCCTTGTACATGGCATACTCTCAGTGGAGATATTTGGGGTCCCTCTGCTGGCCTCTTTCTGCAGGTGCTATTGGTACACATGAGGCCAGTCTACCTCTCAGGGCTTAGGCAGCCCCAGTGGTAGTGTTGGTTTCAGAAAATGAGGCCTGCCTGGCCCCTTATCATCTATCTCCTTCCTGTCTCCCCAAAGTATCAAGTTGAAAGGTCACTTATGCTCTGGTTGGGGGCTATGGCTGCTCTGAACCAGCCACAAAAGAAATAGGCCCTGTGGAGTCTGGCTGGGCTCCAGCTGTTCCTCTGGATCTGCTCTCCATTAGTGGCTTGTTTCTGAGTCACGAACCCATCAGTGTAAAGAGGCGCTGGGTTCTGTGGATTTCCCCTTCAGCTCTGTGGACAGTCTAGGAGAAGCTTCACAGGCTAGGGGACTGTGCTGCCCTTGAGGAAGAAGCTGGACAGTCAGCCTGTGGGACCCAAGTTTTGGTTTTTGTTTTGTTTACAATACTGGGGATTGAACCTGAGGCCTTCGTACTGCCTTGTGTATGAAGTCCTCTTTTATTTTTATTAAACTTTGAGACAGCATCTGACTAAGTTGCCCTGGCTGGGCTCACACTTAAAATCCTGCCTCAGTCTCCCAGAGTGCTGGGTGTGCCACCAAGCTCAGCTGGAGTCCCAAGTATCAAATAAGGAAGGGAGCCTTAACTGGGTCCTGACTCTGAATATTTCCTAGTTTGGAGCTGTGTGTTATATGTCTCTGTTCTGCGGTTGAGGTGTTGGTAAATGTGAGATTTCTGGGGCATTGTTGCTGGGGACAGTGAAGATGTATTGCATGGTGTCTGGTTGGTCGCTTTGCTGGCCACCTACCCAGGGGCAAAGGGAGAGCCTTCCTGTCACCAATACCCATTTCTTTAAAAATGAACCACACATTCTTCAGCTCCTGAAGAATAAAGGTCCCAGTCCCAGTCCCAGGGACATTTTGCACCTGTACTTATAATGTTCCAGGCAGCTTTCTTCCCCCGATGAGAAAGCTGGTTGGTAGGGGTTGGTAGCTTTCCCTTTTACCTTCTTTACAATGCTGTCCCCTGGGAACCTGCCCAAAGGGGTGCTGGGAGTTGGAGTGGTGGTGGGGGCATTTCCCCTCACTTTTCCTTGGTTCTGGTGGAAGGTGTGGTTTAAACACTGCCCTACGCATCACAACTCCCACCCAACCCAGGCTGTTGCATTTTTGGTATTTACAAGTTCATGGAAGGTAGGGGCTGAAAAGGGTGGAGAGGTGGGTGGATGGCAGAAGGCCTGGGAAGATGCCATGCAGGCTTGGTGGGGCAGAGGAGCCCTGTGTGTTCAAGGCCTTGTACTCACTGCAAGTGGACACCTTCACCAGTAAACCCACTTGGCCTTGACTGGATCATACCTGATGAACTCTGGTTCCTACTGGCTGGCAGGGTGGAACTCTTGGGCAGTGTCTTAGTCCTGTAGAATCTAGAGGAGCCAGATGATACCGAGTTGATCTCATCACTAAACCTTTTTCTGTCCCCAAGGAATTAGCTGCAGTGTAGGGAAATTGGGTTTCAAGTAAACAAACCTGATCAAAGGCAGGGGTGGGGTGGGGGAGGTCTTGCAGGGCACCCAGTGCTGGGCAGGGGAGAGCAGCAGCCTAGTGTTGCCATGTGTCCTGTGAGCACATGGCCAGTGGCTCTTGAGACCGTTGCTTTCCTTTCCTCTGGGTCCTGCAGCTCTTTCCCTCTGGCTTTACTCTCCTGGACTTCCTTACATAAGATAATTGGTTCACCGTTTCATTTGGAACTTGATGTATTGGCCACCAGTCATCCTTCTTTCTGTTTTCTTGTAGGATTTACTTCATTCGGTTCCCTAGGTCATGGGGGCCTAACTTCATTTTCGTCCACATCATTTGGCGGCAGTGGAATGGGTAACTTCAAATCTGTATCAACTTCTACTAAAATAGTTAATGGTAGAAAAATCACCACAAAGAGGTACAGTAGCATTTGTTATATATTTTGTATTATGTACTTATGTCATAATGTGTTATTGATGCCACATTAACTTCGTATATTCCCCCAGAGTGGAAGTATAAGCTGTATGCTTGAGCTCTAAATTAAATAGGCAGAGGTAGGCGTGTGTGCGTGTGCATGTGTTAGTGTGTTAGTATTAGTGTTATTTGGGATTAAACCCTGGGCCTTAGGCATACTATTCATGCGCTCTACCACTGAGCTACATCTTTCCTCTTTAATAAAAAAGAGGTTCTCTCTGAGTTGCCCAGGTTGGGCTTGAGCTAGTTAGTGATCCCCCTGCCTCAGCCTCACAGAGTACAAGGATTACAGGCATGCATGCCCATGTGTGTATGGGTGACTACGGATTGAACCTTTAGCCTTACACATACTAGGCAAGCACTCTACCACTGAGCTATGTCCCCACTCCTGTCCTGTCTTGCCTTTCTTTTCTTCTCTCCTTTCCTCCTTTCTTCCTTTCCTCCTTTCCTCCCTTCCTCCCTTCCTTTCTTCCCTTTCGGTCTTCCTTTCCTTCCTTTCCTTCCTTTCTTTCCTTTCTTTCCTTTCCTCCCTCCCCTCTTTTTTTTCTCCCTTCCTCCTCCTCCCTCCCCTTCTCCCCCCTCCCTCCTTTTTTTTGAGACAGGGTCTCACTATGTAGTTGAGACTGACCTGGAACTCACTGTGTAGCCCAGGCTGGTCTTGAACTTACAGCGATTCTCCTGCCTCAGCCTCCCAAGTGCTGAGATTACAGGCGTGCGCCATCATGCCTGGCTTTTTGTTGTTTCTATGTATGTACTAAGGATCGAACTCAGCACCTTGTGCTTGTGAGGCAGGTGCGACGCCACTGCGCTAAATCCCTGGCCCTGTGATTTTATTTTCTTGAGGCATGGTCTTGCTAAAATGCTCTGGCTGGGCTCACACTTGTCTCCTGAGTGTCTGGGATTACAGTCATGTGCCATTGTGCCCAGAGAGCTTTTCCTTCTTAATGTATACTATTTGAAATAATCTTTATATTTAATATGTAATATATAAAATAAGTTTCTGAAGCATTGTTAGGAATAGTAAAATTTAAAATCAGTAATAGTAAAATTTTTACTTTTAAAATTTACAGTACAGGAGATCAAACTCAGGGCCTTGTGTGTGTCATGCAAGTACTCTACCACTGAGCTATATTGCTGGCCCCAACTATATTTTTTCTTTCTGGTACTGGGGATCAAACTCAGGACCTTGTGCTTGTAAGGCAGGCTCAGTACCACTGAGCTAAATCTCCGGCCCTCCAACTCTGTTTGGTTAATAAATAGTATCTCTGCATATATTTAGCAGTCACCAGGACAAAACTTATTTTGTCAGAGCAAGTCTATTTTGAGAAAGAGTTTATTAATAGGGTATTTTTTTTAAAGCAACAGTGTGCTTTAAAATACCCACATGTGTATATATCTGTGTGAATATTCTCATGTTTAAATATATATTTACTTTGTAAAGGAAGTTTCTAAACAAATTCTGTCCTACAGAATTGTCGAGAATGGTCAAGAAACAGTAGAGGTTGAAGAAGATGGACAGTTAAAGTCCTTAACAATAAATGGTAAGGAGCAGCTGCTACGCTTGGATAACAAGTAATTCAACGCACGCATTTAACAGAAATGTTAAACTATAACAAGCACCATTTGAGGATTAACAGGAACATTTTTTTGAAGATTTCAAACGAACTCAACTTTCAGTATAACTGTACCTAATCTAAAGTATTTATAAACAGCTCATCGGAGCCCCTCTTTGTCATAGACTTTTGAGTTTATTGTTGGGACCACACAGTAGGACCATTTTTTGTCTTTAAAATTGTTGTAATCTCTGTATGCACTTTGCTTTTTTATTAAACATGATCCAAGGTAAGCCTTGACTCTTGAGTAGTGCTAGGACAAGATTGTACTCTTAACACCAGCATGGATCTGCTTTCCATTGTGTTTAAAACGTGAGCCAAGTAGTGTCCGCCTGCTGTGAAGCTAACTTTGCCAGGACGAGTCCTCCACAAAAATAATTTCCATTTTTTTTCAGTATTTAATAATGAAAGATACTAATGCATTAATGGTAATACATTTCTGGTTCAATACAAATTTAAGGATGTTTTCTAGTTGTGCATGGATGCTGGCAACTTAGTAAAGTTTTGACAATGTTTAAATGTGTAATGTTAAGCTTAGGTTTATAAAAGCTGGTAAACTGGGTCTTTGTCATTTGCTTTAAAAAAAGAAGAAAATAAATGTGAATGTGTTTGGTGCATTCTTTCTGAAGTGGGATCTGCAGTCTTCTTGTGTCCGTGTATTTTGTGCCTGGGCTTCTAGTGTCCCTTCAGTGCTTCATTTTATTAAGGAGTGTTTTGAATGTAAGTTATATGTAGAGTATATGAAGACTTGCTTACTTACAAATGATGATTTAGCAGTTCTGAACATTTTAGAATGATAACATTTCTGTGGGGGAGGGAAGAAAAAGTTTTACAAATTTTCATTCTTAAAAGTTTAGTTTTCTTGAATATATTTTATGTAAGATCACATAAGGACTATGCATGGTAAAAGTCATAGAATAATTAAGGAGTCAGCAAAAATAAAGCTGTTTTGGTTTTTTTATCTCTAAAATTTTTATGATCACCATTGGTAATTAGAATTCCAGCTGAATTTTACAGAATATTAAAGTGGATGTTGATTGCATTTGTGAGTCACCTTTACCCCCCCCCCCCCCCCCCC